AAAACGTTACTCATTCTAAAACGATTCACGATCGTCTGGAGGCGATATTGCCCTGGTGTCCGATGTCATAATACACTAGCTTGAACAACATAAATCTACATTTTTCAAAGGCTGAAGTCATCTTTTGTAACCTTGCACAAAAGATAAATCAAATCAAAACGATATAAATCAAAACGATATAAATACGTGCATCGGCACTAGAGGGCGGGATTTATGAGAAAAGTGAATTGTATTACTGGTATATCAATCCTCGGGGGGGCGGACATCCGGGCTTTTTCTACCGCCTGGCAACCCTCGCGGTGAAAACAAAGACCAAAAACTCGCAGAAAACGGTACTTTGCGATGGTTGTTGAGAGTGCCCTGAACAGTGTAACAAGATTAGCCCTACGTGTGTAACATATATGAATTTGGTTGTTCAGGATTACTTCAAAGTTGAGTTTGTGTTGTTTTCTCGAGTTTTCACCGGCTCCACCGGCGTTCCACAGCAGCGCGCACAAAGTCCATAGAAATACGTGGTACAGTGGTGCGCGTCTTAGCAACGTAGAACGTCCGTGACGTAGCTCCGCTCCCGAGGATATTATAAATCAAAGCACCATCATCGTCACACTGCGTCGTGTTCGGCATGAGTCCCATGTGATGTATTCTATTGTTTGTCATGACTGCAGCGATTTGTCTCTGACAATTTAATATTGCCCTTTGTTCGCTCAGATAATGAATTAGCTATTTGACGAAACAATGTCATACTTTAATTTCACTCAACTTCGACACTGATGGCGCTTTTACATATTCAGAGGTGGTACGCGCAATATTTAAATAAATTTAAATAACGACCTGTGTTTGGTGAGAATTGGTGAGCAATTACTGTCAGGGGCTGTCATGTTTTTTCTTATAACTTATTATATCCGAACCATTATTATTCAGCAGTGCCATGGTTGCCAGTCAGTTTATTATACCACGCCCTCGACGTTAAAACTTGTTTATCTTTTCCGGGATATTTTCTTAGAAAGATTAGATTCCTTAAAACCAGGCACAACTTACCTCATCATTGTTAAATATAGATCTCCCTTTGTAATCCGTATTTTCTCCTGTGCCCTTGCTAGCGTCATGTCAAACGTCGGTTCCCCGTTGATTGCCGTTAAAATGTCATCTGGCCTGATATCCGCTTTCACAGCTTTACCGCCCGCAGTGGTCTGCAAGAAACGTTTGTGCAGCAAAATGTGTTATTTTTGTTTCAACCTTGCCCTGACCAGTATGGGGCTGGTGACGTAATATTGCATATCCGCCACCCGGGTTATCTGCATAGGGATTATCAACCACAAGTATGTTAAAAGGCGGTGGTCGTCGCGCCGCGTCCT